CTACTCCTACTATTACTACTAGTAGTAGTCAGACACGGTGCAGCGAATGCAATGCAATGCAGTACCACTGCTACTCCTGCTGCTACTACTACTACCACTACTACTACTACTACTACTACTACTGCTGCTGTTACTTCTACGACGACTACAATTATTATGATGGTACTGTGATGTTACTTACACAAAGCTGGGATAAGAATTGCAGTCACGCTGTCTGTAGCTCCGTGCTTGAGTTGAGAATGAACGGGAAGGGATGCAGGATTTTGACCCGTGCCAGACTAAGCCCACAGATCGGGACTTCGTGGTGGCCGCTCACATCGGCCTCTCCTGGCGAGCTCTGCAGCCCTTCGTGGCCTCTTTGCGGCGCTTCGCACCCTGCGCTGTACTCGTGGTGTTGCTTGGGAAAGATCCCGCGGCAGACCTTCTTGAGAAGCTGCTCCGGTATCGAGCTCACCCCCTCATCGTCTCGGAAGAGTGGCCGTACACGCCGCGGGAGCGGCTGCTGGAGGGCTGGGGCCCACCTGGCTGGGGCTTTTCGGAGCCAGCTCTAAGCCGTCTCTTCCCACGAAGGGATCTTCGGGCAGCGAAGCCGGCAGATAAGGTGGCCGGCGGGATTCTGTCGATGCGTTTCCTGATTGCAGATGCCCTGCTGGAACGGGCTTCGGCATCACAGAGTAGAGACCGAGACCGGAGGCTCATACTTGTGGCAGACAGCACTGATGTGGTTTTTCAGGCAGACCCTTTCGGTGATCTCGCGCTGCCGCTTCGTGATAAAGTGGACCACGCCTGGGTGTTCGAGGAGCATCCAAGCAGGACCATCGGTCGGTGCCACTTCAGCCATGTTGTGCTGCAGCAGTATAGCACTCGCTTGAGATGGAGCCTCCGCAATCGAACAGTTATAAATTCTGGGGCGGTCCTTGCCGGTGTTTCTGGCTTCAGTACTCTTGCCGAGGCCTTCCGTGAGGTGCTTCTGCGCTATCCGAAGCAGGATCTGAACGATCAAGGCCTTCTAACAGTCTTGGCTTATGGTGCGCTGCCGCTGCAAACTGGGTCCCGGCTTCGCCTCGAGGTGAAGAAACATGGGGATCCCGGACCTGTTAGCAACGTGGGTGCTTTTCTTACAATAGGCTACTTCGAGCACTACGATCCGGTGGCTGTGAAGCTGCGACGCAATGCCGACGGCCTTGTCGACGTTCTGGGCATAGATGGCCTCCCGTCCCCAGTCTTGCACCAATATGATCGGGATAACATGCTAAAGACCCTGGTGTTGGAGAGATGGGTCTACGAAGAGAACTGGTATCAAGAGTCCCTGGCGCCTGTCACCTTTAACATAATTCCGGCTGTCCACCTGACCGATGTTGGCGTCTTGAAAGATCTCAACACATATATGAGCAATTTCTACTCGGAGAGGCATTGTCGAGATCCCTCTTGCTGTTTGCCCAATTGGAAGCAAAGAGAGATTCACTTCATGGAGAGAACGGGTTTGGAGATTCGACATCCGTACCTGCTGCACCAGGCGGTCATGAATTGCCAGACGATGGAAAATACCATGCTTCTCGGCTTTGTCTTCGACATGCAAGGTATCTTGCAAAGTTGGTCTCGTCGTAACATGACGCACAGAGAGAAGCTGAAGTTGGGGCATTTCTGGATGACTTGGCAGACGATTTTGGCTGCTCAGCCCGTCTACAACGGCCCATCCCATCTGGGCGCCTTACCCTTCCAGCCAAGAGCGGCTGCGATGGCAGCCTGCATCGATGTGGCCTGCTTAGAGGCAGAGAAGGAAGAGCCATGGCAGTTTGTGAAGGTCTTATGGAATGTGTTCATTGCAGGACTAGGATTCAACGCTAAAGTGCAAAGCTATCTGCGCAGAGCTCGACCATCGCCGGATCGGCTTTGGTCACGTCAGATTCTCTGGACAGATCCGAGCACTGTATATCAGCGGGATCTGAACTTAACCGAAGTTCTGCAGAGAGCACGCCTAAAGCGGCTTCCTTGACATGATCAAAAGGAGTTTATGTATACATGTATGCATATAGATATGTACATGTGCATATACATATATAGAGAAAAGCTATATCATAGTGAAAGAAGAAGCCTGCCAGTTTCGGAGGCACCAGCAGTAGTAGCAATGATGGTGACTCATGACATAGGTGACTGTGGTATCAACAACGAGAAGCACCCAATGCTAGGCAATGCAGGAGTGGTAGCAGCAGTAGCGCAGCAGTGGCAATGACAGTGGCAGTAGCAGTAGCAAGCGCAGGAGCAGTAGGAGCGAAAGAAAAAAAGACTAGTAAGCAGCAGTAGTAGTAGTAGT